TTATTCCATCACTTCTTCGGATTATTTATTTTTAATCAATCTATATTCATGTGAAGTGTAGCTCATCTGCATTTTTCTTTCCCTGGAACCTAAATGTATATTATGAATTTGAATCCATCAGAAACTAAGTTAGTCAAAATAAAATTTAACTACGTACGAAGTGAAAACGATTTGTATTTCGCAAATCAAAGTGATTGTTAAAGCAACCAAACTGTGTCAGAAATGTTCCCAAATTACTGGGTAAGGCTTTTATCAGCTCATCATCTGATCCAATAATTTTAATTGTGGCATTTCATTCGGCATGTCGCCGCACGACTTCTATGATACTCAAAGTCTCACATATATAATTTGAAAGGGGGGGTCTGGGGGGGCGGCGCCCCCTCAGCAGGTAGCTTTTGCTACTTGTTTTTTTTTTTTTTTCATGTACTGAAACTATCTCAAAGTGAATAGACCCCAACTTTCTGACTCTTTGCGCATTAAAATAAATAGTTGTATTTTTCCCTCATTTTCTAAAAAAAAAGAGAGACTAAAAGATAACTGGCTTTGGAATTTTGATTGAAGTACTCCATGAGTTGAGCTAACTGTATTTCCTCAGTTTTCTTTCAACGTTACGTATCTACATTTTAAAAAAAGGCACCGTCGAGTAGGAAAAGTTGCTATCTAGTAATGTCATTTATCATTGCCATTGAGCTCCTCCCTACAAGAGGTAGGACAAAGTTTGCAAAATGGTGCACTTTAATTCCCTCTCACTGATAGACACCCTCAAGTTACCTGAGTGCCTCTTGAGGTAATGTAAACTAGAGTCCCTTTATACTGAGAGTCAAGACAACACCCCACATGGAGTCACAAACGGGAATAAAGATTACACAAATTGAACGTTTTTCGTAATCTTTGATCGGCTCATTCTTAAATTCCTTTCTCCGTTCCTTCTCTCATTCCGTTTGTTCCTTGTCGAACCCGAAATTCCTCGGTCCATTCCAGATTATAATCTTTGCAATTGGTGAAAATGTAATCTTTATTCCCGTTTGTGACACTGTGAAGGCCTAAAATCCGGTTAACCAATCAGAAATGGATTCGCATTGTCTTGACTCTCAGTATAAAGGGACTCTAATGTAAACTACTTAGACTATAAAAAGTTGGAGAACTGATTGCTGCCAAAGAAGGTTGATTGGTATTGAAAAGGTGTGCAGGTCAAGGGCATAATTTTTTGTCAGATCAGCAGTAGCTTTGATTGGTTTCACATAGCTAGTCATAGTCTTGGGCTACAAAAACTATGAAGAGGTCAGATCACTGGTAACTGATGCGTCCTTTTATGCACAATGCAGTTGCTTCTTTTTCCATTTAAACAAGAATAAGTGTCGTCACAGTGTGGAATACCACACCAATGCTTGTGTAATTTCACAGCTCTAGCCTAAGAGCCTATGTGCATTTTCCCTCATGAAATCATCTGTTTCGTCCTAAGTCAAGAGAACCTGACCCTTAGCTTGTCTGACCTATATCTCATAATCTGCTGTATGGAAGCATTTTCTTAAGTTATAAATTTTTTTTACTGTAACCCTTGCATTCAGAAAGTCTAACATTATTACAGCATAGTCAAGCAAACTAAAATTGAGATTCAACTCCTACTCGTGTCTTTGTATTTCTCAGTCTAGACGTATTGTTCTTGACAAGTATGCAAGTAGGTCTCACTACAGCTCAGAATTTGATCCAAATCAGTCAGTTGTAACAATAATGCGCCTTACTCATTGGAGTATAAAAAGCCTTTGCCAGAAATCTGAAAGAAGAATTTATTAGATTTGAAACCACTGTATTCTCTTCTATGAGGAGTCTTTCAGCTTTACTCGAATGATGATGACGCATCTGTTTTGCTTTTGTAGAATGAAATTGTCTTGGCTAATCCTGGTTTGAACTCACTTGTAAGATCTTTGATGGTTTTTTTTTTGGGGGGGGGGGTGGAAGACATTTTAAAGTAGTGGTTCAAATGGTGTTTAATAAGTGTTCCATTAACATTTTTGATCTGTCTGTGAAGGATTTTGTCAAACAAGAAGAAGTAAGAGAAAAGCTCAATCAACTTCTAGCTTCAGCCAGCCCTCCAACATCACAGTTGAAAGAAGCATCTGTTGTAAGTTTGAACATCAAGATCCTAAAATACTCCTTTCAGATCATGCTTAGAATGACTCACTAAACAAGGTATGAAGTTAAGCATTCTTATGCATGTTTTTTAATCAAAATTTAATGTAGAACACAATTTGTGCATAAAAAATTACTGAAATTGACTCTTAGTCAAGATGTTTAATGTTTTTAGACTTGTGAATTCAAACCTCCTACTCAAGAAAACCCAATGGTCTACGTATGTCAGATTGCAAACTGGACATTACCGTGGCAGCTTCTATGATACAAACATATGGCAATCTCAATGTTGACGCTTTAGTACAGCCATTGCAAATTGTTAACACTTTGAACAACAAAGAGTGGGAAATGAACAATGTTTGATTGAGAAGTCCACTAAAATCGATGTAGCGCGCAATATGACTCACATTGTGTTTCTTGTGACGGGGCAATTAAAATTTTCTGCAATCAATGTAAAATTAAAACGTTAATATCTTAGTTAGGAGTTGATTTCAGTAATTTTGGATGCAAGAATTGTGCTCTACATGAAATTCTAGTTAAGAGACATGTATCAGAATGCTTAAATTTGTGCCCTGTCCAGCGGTCCAATTGTCAAAAACCAATTCCAACATATATTTATATCGTTTTTTTTCTAAATGTTATCAATTGAATTCATACATGTAAAACTTTATATGAGTGTCAACCTCACAAGAATGAGCAAAATCTATGCCCACTGAATTGGCTATTGAAATTATGACTGCCGGTAATTATCTGCATCAATTTCACAGAAGCTTTCCCTCTTTCATTTATTCAAGTGTTTTAATTTTTCTGAAAAGAAAGAGCTCATTAGAAAGCTTGACAGTCACATCTTATCCTAGCATCTGTTCAAGGGGCCATTTAAAACTCAATCATATTTCAGTTTTTTGATGTGTATCTTCCTCTCATCATGTATGGTTGTTTTCAAATCACTATTGCTCTTCATGTCCAACTCAGGTCAATAATGAGACAGCTCCAGATTACCCTCATTATGCCAGTGGTGGAAGCAGCCCAAGCCGAGAAGTTCAAGAAATAATGCTTCCCTTGACATCAAGTCAATGTTACTTCCCTAAAGCAAAACCACCGTGAGTTGTATCATATTTATTCCAAACTGCACATTTTTTCCTGGTTTATTTCCAGTAACTTACAAAGGGTTCTGAAAAAGGATACATGCTTCTACCCGTAGAAATTGCCAGTGCCTATCCCAATAGATAATATTTTTTATTGTAATTGTGTCTTTTTGGAAATATTCAATAATTTCTGTTGAAGGAAAACTTTTTTTTGTCTGATATTATTCGTGTTTCAAAATTGTCAACAACTTTGAATATGTCAAAAAACGCAGTGAAAAACTTTACAAGTTTATTAATGCTCATTTGTCAAGAACATACAGCCTGCTGAGCATGCTTGCATTGGGTTTACAACTTCTTGTTGCTACATCAGATTCTTAATCAGAAGTTTTACAAAGAGAATCACGTAGTCTATGGATACAAGAACTGAGTAAAAAAAAATGTAGAACCTCTAAAAATTTCAATGTTCCAAAGAGGCTGTCTCGTTTCCTGTCAGATTTGGCTCCATATCAGATACAATCAATTTTTTTAGGAATGGTTCAGTAGCATGTGTGAAGTTCAAATTTGGCGGACTTTATGGTGCAGCCCTCATCATCGAAAAAGGGGGGGGGGTGTCAAAAGCAAAACTATTAACTGCCCATAGCTGGTTTGTCAGATTGAGTTGAACTTTTTTATCTCTTTTTTTCTGTTCTTTTTAATGAAAGAGCTCAAAAAAACCTATCAATACTCACAAGAAAAAAGGTCTGAAAAATTTCATTTCAGATACCTAAGCTGAAGCTGAAACCTGCACAAAAATCTGCCGAATTTGCGAAAAAATGGAAAAAATCACATTTTCTATTCTAGTAATACATCATTTCTGCTTGGTTTAATTTATCCCCATTTATACCAAATGACCCAGTAAGATTGTTGGCGTGAGCATGCTGTTCAAATTCTTGCATCAAGCCAATGATAAGAATGAAGCAACTACAAATTGAAGAACAACTGTCTCCCAACCATCAGCTTTTTGAACTTTTCTCCAACGCTCCTTTTCATTCTTTTCAGAATGAAGCAACTGTAACTATCATTTGCATCAATTTAACCTCTGTCTGAAAATGATAGGAGAAGAAATAAAAGAAAAGTCTAATTTCATAGAAATGTATACTTTTTTTATTTATAATTCTTTATGTTATAGTTGATAATTTTAACTTTTAATGCAGGCAACCAGATAATTATACCAAGGAATCAAAGTTTCCGGAAGATTATGTTAAGGAGTCAAAGTTCTCAGAGGCTAATGTCATAAAATTCAAACCCTCCAATCTCTCAAGTTTCCAAGGAATGTGTGAAGTTGATATATCGGATTCAAAGTACGTATTATTACATAATCATATCCACTCTCACCTTTTCAACTTGTCTATAGAGTAAATTATTAACACTAGGTAAGGAAGGTGTTCATTTTTGAAATCTGAGAAAACTTATGTTTCTCTGTGTTCGAAGTGTGCTTCAAGGAGTGAAAAGAAGTGATCATTCTATCTAAAGAAATCTAAAACAATTTTCAGAGGTTGCTCAAGTGCTCTAAAAGGGGCAAGCTTTAATGTCGGCAATGGAACAAGCGATTAGTCAGATCCTGAAGGAAATCATGAAATGGTTACCTTTTGTGCAAAAATTTTGTCTGTTCAACTGTATCTGCCATGAAAAGGCTGCAAACAGTCGATAAAGTGGGCACATAAAACTACTTTTGGCGGACAGCTAAAGCTAGGAGGTCAAATGGAAGTTGCCAAGCCCATTTGTTCATATCTTGTAGGTCATGGCTTGTTCGGGGCCCTAGACATTCCCTGGCATTTCCGGAAAAATCTGCGCTAGTTTCCTTCAATCATTCAATTTTAATTGATGAAAGTGCTTTATCACAATGTTGTCAGTTTGCGCACAAGAACAGGGCTCAAAGGAGGGTTACTTTTTATAGAATCCTGAGTAGTATACTGATCCCTATTTTTGATATGTGACCAGGAGCACTACTCTGAATGTAAGCAACTTTGCATCATTCGAGCATCTCTCAATAGGTGGATAGTTGCCAATTCTCCAAATTTATGGTAGAAACATCTGATATCTTGATTTGATAATGATTGCTTGTGGCAGCCGTTTAAGAAAAGTGCTTTTCCTCGCCTAGTCATTTCCAAACTAATTGTAAGTTATAATATCCGTGTTTGTACTACTTGCAGCCATGGAAGTAAAGTGCAGGCTGTATTTCAATAACTCTTCTTGGTCGCCAGTTGTGAGAAGTAAATAATCAGAAGTTTTTCCCAAAACAAGTGTCATCCTAAAATTATTAGGAATGACTAAGGTCCCTTAAAACAAGCATATATACTTACCAAGCAATCCTAATTATTTTTAGACAAATAACAATTTTTTCTTTTATTGTCTTCTCGCAGCAGAAGCATCTCTAATAGGAGGCGAGACTCTGATCTTGGACTAAATACTAGCAGCAAAGATGTAGACCAAATGAGCAAAACTTTGCAAAAACTGGAGGCAGCTGTAAATAATATGACATTAACAAATAACGCATTGGTTCAAACAATGATTGACCACCAGACGGAATATAAGGTAAACTACTAGTAATGTTTTTGACCTCCAAGTAACTCTGGTGCCAAAAGGTATAAAACATAGAAAAACTCAGTTTCCTTATCACATTAGAGTTCTTCTTTTCTTTTTTAAACAAAATGTCAAAAAAAAAAAAAACAGGAAGGGAGAAGCAGGTTTCCAGTCAGCTGGTTGTTGAACTTCATTTCAGCATGGCAAGACGTCCTATCTTTTTCTGATAAACTATAAGTTTAATCTATCAAAACGCAATTCTGGAACCAGTGCAACTGGCCCATTAGTTGCGACTTTAATTTCTCTATTTTCCATTTTCCATTCTTCATTTATCACTGTGTCTCCTGTAAACTATGTAATCTTGTTTCTATTCAGGAATATATGCAAGATCTAAAGGAAGAAATTGCAAGAATCGAAGGAGTTGTGACAAGAGGGACTCAACAACAGATTGTAGCGCTCTCTCGAGAAGAACGACAGAACACTGAAACTGTGGTTACTGCTATCTCTCAAGTTGTAGACAACATTGTATCAAACAAGTTGGAAGACATTGTTGCTAATGAAATCAGTAACGCAATTTTACCAGGTATATCCTCTACCTTATCTTTATTTAGTGTATCATTTACACCACTTGCCTTTTTCCTGAAAAATGAGTCGAAAACCATGGTGGGGAAACTTGAGAAGGTTATTTTGGATACAGCTGAAAGGTGGATAGATTCAACTGGATCGTTGTATTTTGTCCAATTTCCTATCATGCTTTAGTTTTGAAAAGTAGCAAATTATAAAACATGTTACAATGTTACATCAAGACTCACTGTGAATTTCTCCTCAATAATGAGTTTACATGCTTTTCATGTTAAAAAGTTCCTTAACTTTCTCTCGCCCAAATTTGGCTGGTAATCATGTTTAGCTTAATGTTAGTGTCTCTTTTTATCTACTCTTCTTGATAAAGAGAGGAAAGTGTCACCTTAACAAAAATTCCTCAAGGATGCAAACACACACACATNCCCTAAATCTTCTAATTCTTAATCAGCATCTTATTAGTATTTTTTAGTTGAGAGAATGCCACTAGACCTCTCTTTCCTCCAAATTTCTCTTGTTTTGTCCTAGTAATAAACTGATAGTATGTTTTGTATTTAGTGTGTTTGAGGCAACATACACAGTGTACCGCTTTATGCAGTCGCGCGTATACACAGTGTACCGCCTTTCCGATAGTTTCGACCCCCAACTCGATGCATTTTTTCTTTCCTTTTCATCTACGTTTCAGGATTCTAAGTTCAAGCTGCCTTTTCTCTTTGCAGGGCTGTTGTTACAAACTGATAATGCATATTATCACTGTATTCTTTGATTTTAAATATAAGTTTTCTTTTTTTCCCGTGTGTAATTAATCTATTGTTTGTCCTGTAAACAGCAATCCTGAATGTTTTACAACCATTCAAAGATGAAATGCACCTAGAACTAACAAAGAAGTTAAGTGCGACTGATTCATTGCTGAAAGAAAATATCTCTAAGATGATGACTAGTAAAGTAAGTATTTTCATTCATTAATGTGAGTTATACTTATGAGTCTGCATATAAATATTACTGTTAATTAGCCTTATCCACATACATATACTACACATACATGGGTGAATTCAAATAAGGGTCAAATTCCAGGTTCTATTTCCTCCCAAAATTTTTTTCTGAATTTTTGGGCGAACCAAACTTTATTTTGACTATCATTAGGTGTAGACTTAGGAAATATAGCTCGTCGAGCTTAATAGTTGGGCTTAAACCCGAATTTCCACCGTCAAGTGTATCACTTCCCAAAATTTGCCGTAATTTTGCCTGATTTCCTAAATTTTCATCTCAGAGGTGACATATAATACTTTTAATTAAAAATTGAACACAATTGTCATAAAAGCATCGTCGATCACTAAATTAAAGCATAATTGAAAACATGTAACCCTTTTATATCTTGCAGAACCAAAAAAATTAAGAAAAAATTCATCCGTCATGAAAGATATCTGGAGCTTATTCTGCTTGTCTTTTAGACAGTTCCGTCTGTTTATCAAAATGCGCACTGATTTCGTTTCACACGAGAAGAAGCTTTTATATCTTGGAATATTGCAATACAAAATGGATCAAAAACACCGAATTTTAAAACTTTGAGTGGGCGTGTACCCGCTGAAGTGGTGATAAAGCCAGGAAATTTTGAGGACTTACATTAACATAACAATTACACCGGTCAACTTTTTTTTTTTTTTTTTTTTTTTTTTTTTTTTTCCGAAGATTTGCCAATGGTTTCGGAGTAGATTTTTGGCGCTAATTCTGAAGAACACCTCCATTTACCTGCATCAATGCGATTTATCCTGGGAAAGTTCGGAATTTTTCCGGAGAAATCGGAATTTTCCTTAAAAGTCTAGCTTTTCCAGAAGAGTCAATTTTCCGGGAGAATCTGTGCACGATGGAAAAAACACAGGAATTTTTCGATTTCGTAGCCTAAGATACATAAGAAACCCTATTGCACCCCTATTAAAATTTCCTTTCTTTTCCTTATACCAAGGTTTTCCGGTCCAGTTTCATAAAAATCAATTAATTAGTCGCCGAAATAGTGTTTTAGGCCACGGCCACCATCTTAGATTTTCGAATCCCGGAAATTTGACTAAAATTCGAGTTCCCCATTCAAAAATACCCGCGGGTACCAAGTTTCGCGTAAATCGATTGATTAGGCTCTGAGATAGCATTTTACGCCATGTCCGCCATCTTGGATTTTCGAATTTTAAAAATTTGACTAAAAATTCAAGTTCCCCATCGAAAAGTACCCCCGGGTACCAAGTTTCACTTTAATCGACTGATTAGGTGCTAAGATAGCATTTTAGGCCACGTCCGCCATCTTGGATTTTCGAATTTTGAAAATTCGACTAAAAATTCGAGTTTCCCATTAAAAAATACCCCTGGATACCAAGTTTTGCGTAAATCGATTGATTAGGCGCTGAGATAGCATTTTAGGTCATGTCCGCCATCTTGGATTTTCGAATTTTGAAAATTCGACTAAAAATTCGAGTTCCCCATTGAAAAATACCTCCGTGTACCAAGTTTCACTTAAATCGGTAGAAAAGAGCGCCTACAGGGCTTAAACAAGCAAGTCTCAGTTGTAACAGTTTTCCACTCCGTCCCACTACAGTGGGACATGGGACAGGATGGAAACATATGGGACAGGATGGAACGGGACAAGATGGAACGGGACAGGATGGAATAAGCTGTTTTTTAAGCTTATCTCTAACAGTAAAGACAATTTTGGTGTTTTTTTTCACGGAATATTTAGTAGCACGTCCTAGAGGATCGGAATAAGAGAAAATTTTCCCTAACGCACACTTCGAAAGTATTTTACGAGCTGATATTAGTGTGTGTGTGTATGCTTGACGCCCTGTTAGTTATCATGTATAGCATTCTGTTTGGCATCATTAATGGCGTTAATCTTGCACAAAAATTTGCGAATTTCAGAATTTTTGCCATCTACGACGTGTGAACTATTCAATCAAAACAAAAAAAGTCATTTTTGGAAAAACCTCAACGTTACGGCAGTCATTTAGAGCTTATTACATCGTTGCCATGTCTCTCCTGACTGTTGCTGACTGTTGCTCGGGACAATGATTCTAGCGCGTGAAAAAGTTATTGATGGAGCAAAAAATAAATTGACATATTTTTTTTCTCAAATTCAAAAGCATTACCTATCATCTCCAATAAAGTTTTCTTAAATAATCACTCTAGTTATGCTGCAACATCGATTTAAAGTCAAGAACCAGGCACGGGGGACACGCAAATTTGGGACAAATGTAGGCAATTTGCACATTCAAAGTTCTCCTAAATTTTTATTTCAGTCCAAATAAAGTGGGAAGTAGCATGTAATAGTCAACAATAGTGTGGAAAATGAGAAAAAAATTTGATCTGCCCATGATTCTCAGATTATGACGATTAAAACAGCTCGGGACACCAAATTAGACGCTTATTTGAACTCACCCACATATACTCCAGTAGCATAACCACATTCCATCTTGGTCTTATCTGATCTAGTAGACTAATGGAAAACATCAGCCGACAGACGGAATTAAGTCTTAGCCTGTTGTATATTGGACGGAAAAGGACTTTTTTTAGGCACAATCATTTCTGAAAAAATATTTATGTCATAATCCTGGGACACCATGGTGTCTCAATATAGAAGTACATAGTACCTGATTGTTATGAAATCTTGTATTTTCTCTCTAAATTAAAACTATTCAAATTCACCTATCCAAGATTTTATCAATAGCGGTCATGCATTCATTTTAAAACCGAACTTTTCCTATCAATTTCCTTTTTCCTTTTAGCATGTCTTTTTTAATTTCAATTTCAGGGTGTAATGGAAGTATTAAGTAATTCATTAATGGTATCATTAACGCCAGCTATCAATCAGTGTATCCATGATATATTTACCGCCATTGGACTTCCCACAATAGAGAAGACGTGCCAGACTATGTTCTCTCAAGTGAATAATGCATTCAGCAAAGGTGTTAAAGAATGTAAGTACCAAACAATGAAAATGCAAGTTGCAAAAAGTTCCCAAACTACAAATTTTTTTTTTAATTTGATGTTTTTTCCTTGCATAAAGTATCCAATCTTGCGCAATTTTTTGAAATATGAACCACAGGAAGAAGCAAAAAATAAGAAAGTCAGGTTTGTAAATTACCCCCTCACTAAAGATTTGTCCCATTTTTGGTGCAATCCTCGGATTGCGAGGTCAAGCATCATTTGCACCCTTCAAAAAAACTTTGCATTGTTAATACCTAGGACCTAGGAAGTCGCACAGAATAATTCTGATTAAAACTTGTCTTTCTCGAAAGAAAAAGTAATGCTCTGTTGAATCTTTACTCTTTCTCGCTTCAGAGATTTAAATGGTCACCAGGAGCCATGTCAAGATACTTTTGGAATGCAAGAGCAAAGCCAAGATAGAATTTAAACTGAATGATTTCAGTAAAGAAGTGTATAAAATTGCAAGATTTTACCGTAGTCTGTTTTCTCTGCCTACAGATTCCTAAAATCTGAGAAAAAATAATTAATTCAGTGGATGACTCTGTTTTATCTTTTATTTCAGATGCAAATATTTTAGACCAGCACTCACGAGATTCGTTGAATCTGAGTTCAGAATCAGCCAGCCAAATCAAGGCATCCACAGAAGTCATGAAAACTGGGTTCCAGCAGATGACAATGGAGCTGAAAAAATCCTTAGCCAAGTAAGACAAATGTGTCAAGATTTGTAAACAGTGACCCTATCTTTCAAAATGCCCAAGTTCAGTTACATAAAACTGCATAGGTGACGCTTAATCGAATACCTTATGCTACATTGAACGTAAACCCTCACTTAATGCACCTCTAAATGATTTTACACGGTTTTCTATCAGCAAAACCTTTCCTCTTATACATGGAAAGTCTAAATAATTATATCTTAATCATGCAAGATGGGGGTCTTGTGAAATGATCTTGTGAAATGATCCTGTGAAAATGTTGATCTGGTAAAAGTGGTAATATTTCTCCCAATTTTTTCTCAAGTTTTCAAAATTCAAGATGGCGGCGTCCTGAGTGCCAGACAATTTTCTTGAAGGTAATATAGGCAGTTACGAACTTCTTTAGCATCTAGGAATCGAAGAAAATTGGTTTGGTTCACAGGACAGAACATGACCTGAAAATTGTTGTGCAATGTAATTTTTGGGTACTGCATTAAAAATCCAATAAGTTTATTATCTAGTGATTCTAACCTCATTTTAGCTTTAGACCTGAAGAATAGGTATTATTTCAATTTTTTTTTTCCGAACATTAGATTGGAAGTTTCCTTGAACGACTCAATAATGAAGGGTCTACAGTCACAGCAGATGACATTGCAGGAATGTGTTGTAAACACTGTTCGATCCTCAAGAGCGGTGACCCCAGTTGTTGATCTCAATCAGCATTTGCTCCACCTAGTTCAACAAAATCAAATTAATTCTGCGTTCCAACAGGTCAGTCATTCTACTATTACAACTAGAAATGACATTTTCAAAAACTTAATTAGTCACTCGATTTAACTTGAAGGAAATTGTGAAAGCTTAATGAACAATCAGACTAAAAAAAATTTAAGGAGGAAAAATTTTCCAAGTTATCCAACTTTGCCACTGCTTAGGTTTGTCTTATTTAATTATCCTGATTCCTTTTTTGTTTTTTGAAATTTTTTCCTCTTTCATGATCTAATTATTTAACATAAGTTCAAATCATTATGTAGATCATAAAAATGTTTTCATCTTGCGTTTCAATTCGTAAGGGTGTCTAGTTTGTTTTAAAATCGACTGATCCTCTTTTTCAGTTGTTAATTCAGTTTTTTCTTTTATGTCATGAGTTCTTATTTCAGAAGATTTGATGATTGTAACCTAACTTAAAATTCTGTGTTTCCTGTTACTTATTGCTAATCACAATTTTCAATTCCATTGCAGGCGCTTAATGCAAATGATCTTAGTCTAGTAGTTTTAGTATGCTCCAAAGTAGATCCTGATAAAGTATTTATGAGCACATCATGCCTTCTTCAACCACCAGTACTGTTGTCCTTAGTTCAGCAACTTTCAGCTGACATGACCTTAAACACGGATATTAAAATATTGTAAGTACAGACCTCATTCCTTTAGAACGTTTAATGGCAGCTGTACGATCATTGAAATCAGTTTTTTACTTTCATTTTAGCCTGTCATTTTAATTATAGAGGGTTAAAACTTTTTGGTAGGTGCCTCAGAGGTGCAATTCCAAGGTTCAGTTCTAATTTAGGGGTGCCTCTTTTTTTGTTAAGAAGCACTAAAAATGCTGAGAGGAGGAACAAGAATCTCAAGAGTCATTAGTTTCCCATGTTTTTGTCTCAATCCACGAAGAGATTCAGGACACTAGCACACAGTTGGGACAGTGATTTGAGCAAAATCTCAGATTAATTTAGGAGAGAGTTTTTTCGAGGGCATTAAATCTGTAGAGGGAGGCATGTCACATACTGGGGAACAACATATGAAAATTTAAGGTACCTTTGAGGATAGACAGAAATCGCTGTGTTTTAATGAAACTTTTTACTTGTTCTGGCAAGACTCTGTATTGAACCTTTTGGCCTTAAAAATCAATTATTTCCTGCAGGTATCTAGAGAAAGCTGTTTCTTATTTTGGAGCAATTCAGAACACACCCCAGTGGGATGCCTTGTCTGCTGCTCCTGTCCTGCTTAAAAATTTATCCATTCAACTCCACCAATTCATCACAAATAACAGCAGTCACAAGCTTGCATCGACCATGAGAATGATTCTCATGGCTATCAAAACTCTCATTCCTTGAATACCAATTCACTTCAATCAATCTCCATTTGACTATAATTGGTAAGTGTGTTCGTAATGTGTTTAAATCACTCCGTAACGTTATGTGCAAAGAATAGTGTGTTTACTTGTAAGCAGTCCCCATTTTTGCACTTCGAAAGTTTAAATGTCAAGTTCAGTGAAAAATTGAAGCATTTTATGCAAGCAGAGCGTGTGCCAGAATCTAATTCCAAGGAAATCATGTTCAAAGTTTTGAAACTTTACTTTATAAAATGCTGCGTGTTCAATACCCAGACGTTTCAAATTTGCTCTTCAGCTGTTTCCCACAATAAGCTTTTTCTTTTAACGCTACTATTGATAATAATGTTCAGGGTTTTCAGATTGACCTGGATCAGGTAGGATGGGACATTAAATGCAAAGAGTGGGGAACTGAGAGATTTTGCCAGAATTTTAAGAATTTTGGGGTTGCAGCCCTATTTTGCGCCATCAATAAATTTGATGAGGTCTGTGTTCACTGCAACACGGTCTTTAATGTATTTTAGATACAAGTTAAAATGCCATCACTGCTTGTATGTAATACTGTAGTACTTGAAAGCTGTAACTCTCTCCATCTCCAGGTGGCCTAGCATAATTAGAACGTAATTAACTAACCTTTTTCTGCTGAAAATCATGGCTTCAGTGTTTGGCTTCGATATTTCCAGAGATAATTTGTTTATGAGAAGAGAGTTGATTGTAGAGAGATCCTCTTGAGATTCTGAAATTGCTAGGCCCAAGTTCTGGTTTTAGTTTATGAGAACAATGCTGTCAATGAATTCTATGATCATGCAGTGACTGAGGCATCGGTGTACAGATTTTGTGTATATTAGGTACAGTAGCGGGCTTAGGACTGAGCTTTGCATTAACCCTAGGTAGGAGATGCGGGGGCCAGAGGTCTTGCCGTTGAAATTGACAAAAATTACCTTGGTGTGGAAGAGGTTAAAAATTAAATTGACCATCTTGTCAGGGACTTCACACTCCTTTAGAGCTTGTCTTAGTTTATTTAAATCTACAAAATTGTAGGCACCTTTAATATCCAAAAATAGACAGACAAGGAAACCTTTCCTGGATATGCCATTTATTATGCGTTTATTCAGGGCACTGTGGTAGTCATTCAAAGATCGGAACTTTTTGAAACCATCTTGATGTGGGGACAACAAATTATTCTTCTCCATGAATCGCTCAAGATTATTCTTCAGCAGTTTTTCAAAGATTTTTCTAGGGAATGATAATAATGATATAAGTCGGTGAGATGTTGGTTGGTTCTCTGGTTTCATTGGTTTCAAGATACTTTTAATTATCACCTCATTCCATGACTTGGGGATGTTCTCAGTCGACAGAATTTGAACATAAGAATTGTACAAGCATTTGATGGCAACTTGTGGAAGAGCATTTAGGATTTTCTTGTTAATCTTATCTTTACCTGGACATTTATTTTTTATGTCATAAAACGATTGGAGGAACTCATCATATAACAGAGTAAGAAGTGGTCTAAGTTGGGAGTTTGAGGCTCCTCTGGAGGGGGGAGTTTGGTACACCATCAGGAGTGAGGTTTTTCAAACAAGCCCGGCACCACAATGAATCTTAGGCTTTAGTTGGCTCCTTGCAAATTTCAGAGATTTTAGTCTTGTCCATACGCTAGTCCTTGGTGTGTTAATTGTAAGTGAGAAGCACATCTGTGCCAGCTTTTTCTTTGTTCTTCTTTGACTACAAGTTTAAATTTAGCAGCCTTTTCATGGTATATAGAGAGGTTTTCCCAGGAGTTATCAGAGTTCCATCGCTGAAATGCATTATCTCGAATGGTTTTTGATTTTTGCTGATTGGCATTTGGCGTTCCACCAAGGTACAAAATTGGATGTCTGATGCACAGGTGCAGGTTTTTTGGGTGGGCCAAAGGATCGTGCCTCTTCCATTGACTCTAGTGTAATGCCCTCCCACTCATCATAAGAGATTGAAGCTGGATCTTGGACTGATTCGAATCTCTTCCTCACCACTCTGGTGAACTTTTGGATGTGGATCGAGCGAGGTTTTTGGTCTTGGGTGTGGGCGTTCCGTATGGGAAGAGGATCGCCTGTTTGCAACTGAAAAGTGAGAGGATATTGGTCACTGCCTCCTGCGATTTGTTGGACTTGAAAGGATACTTTCTGGATGAGGTTCTGTTTAACTAGGACCATGTCATTAATCCCTGGTCTGCAAATCTTGGTTGCTCGTCTGGTTGGTACCAGATGCTGATTATTAGCTAGGACAAAGTTGTTGTCATAGGAAATATCAATTAGGAGTCTACCTTCATTGGTTGGATAAGTATAACTACAGGCAGGGTGTTGCGCGTTAAAGTCGCCACCCAGAATAATTTTTTCCCCATAAATGGTCCGGAGGACGTTCTCCAATGGACCAAAGTTCCTTTTGTAGAGTGGATGTTTGTAGAAATTAACTGGGTGGATTTTATCTAAGGGTCCAAGTTCTAGCTGAACTACTAAAATTTCTAACTCTATAATTACATCTAGACGATAGTTCAGGTTGTCGATCATTTTACTTGTGAAGGATGAATAGATCAACGTAAGGAGACCCCCTCCATTTCTAGCAGCTACACGTGGGCCTACTCCTCTGTCATTTCTATATGTTATGAAATTTTTGAGTTTGAAGTGATCTGCGCTCTTAAGCCAAGTTTCACAGAGCATGACAAATCAAATTGAATTTTGACATATGATGTTATCTAGATCGATCTATTACCTTTAGTTAGGACGCTATGTATGTTCCATGATAGGAAATTGAGGCTCATGATAGCAATTCACAATAATAGAAGTCAAGTTGTGATGGTTCAGTTTTTTTTCTTGTTACCTTTCCTAGAGGATTTTCTGGGCTGGGTCTTTGGTGACTTTTCCTCGTTCTGCGCAGGGATGAACTTTAGTCTTTCAGGGATTTTGATCTCCTTTGTTTCAGCTTTCTGGTTTATGTTCTCATTAGTCAAGAATTCCTGTGGCATCATTTCTCTTATAAGAATCTTGGTGGAGGATTTTCCAATTTCTGGGGAAGTTTCAGGATCCTGGTAGTCCATGTTAGTGTCTTTTGCCCTAAACGATCCTTCTGTAGGGGTAGGGCTGCTTGGAACGATCACTTCGTAGGCGCCAACTTGATCGAGGGAGGCTGATGGGTCAAGATAGCGATCGTGTATCGTTCCACCGTTGTGATTCTCTTTAGGGCTGCTAATGGGTGATGGAGTCTTATTTTCTAGCTTCAGGGCTGTAGTCTTAGGGGCCTGTGTGGAGTTCTCCAAGATAATTTTGCTGGGAATGTCCGATTCTGAGTAACTACGACTGTAGATATTATGGTACAGCCAGTCTATATTGTTGGAGTTTGGGTAGCCCCAGGTGGGGTGCCGGGAATTGAAGTCTGCAGAGATGATTGTTATAAGATGGGTGGTGGGTTGCACACACTAAGAACGTAACACACTGGTTCGTGACTAAAGCATTTTATTGTACGAAATGCAAATAAAATGAACTGTCAAAAATACATGCCAAGACATGATCACAAGGAAGAGCAGGGATGGGAATCCATATCTGATGGATGATGACTATCGGTGAGAGGCGATGGGTAGTGACGTCATGATGACATCACCATCAAACACCTCCCCCTTTACACTTTTTTTTTAAACCGTCAGGGCACTGTAATTAAAAATTGATTTTAAACCATTGGGGCTTCATTTAAGAAATTTCCAAAAACACCATTAGGGTGTACAGGTTTAGATTTTAAAACATCATTGGGATGTACAGAGCTTAACATTGAAAACACCATTGGGGTGTAAAGAGCTTCACATTGAGAACACCGTTGGGATGTTGCTTGCAGTATTAATGGGCCTGTTGCAAACTTTTGCTAGAGCAAAATTAAGAGTTGTTTCTTATAGATAATGCCTCAAAAATCACGATGAGCGCATCGGCAAAGTCTGAAATGCACTCATAACTTCACAATCTGCGTAAGAAATTTGCGTTTTTTTAAGCTTCCCGCTTCAAAAACGATACTACGGCACAGGTGAACATTTTGTTAGAGGAGTCGCTCCATCGTCGGCGATATTCATCATGGCCGACGCTTGCGCGCAGTTCCGCGAGTGATTCGAGGAGAGTTCAAGGTCAATCAATTCGGGCGTGGAAAACATGAACGTTAAAACACGCCGATTGTTATCTGGTCTAATCCAGTTCAGGTATTATCTCGTCCCATCACACCTGTTTTGGCGGATTGGCGTCGGCCATGATGAGTATTGCCGACGATGGAACGACTCCTTTTACACAATGTTCACCTGCGCCGTATCGCTTTTGAAGTGGGAAGCTCAAAAAACCGCAAATTTCTTACGCAGACTGTGAAGTTATGAGTGCATTTCAGACTTTGCCGATGCGCTCATCGTGATTTTTGAGGCATTATCTAGAAGAAACAACTCTTATTTTTGCTCTAGCAAAAGTTTGCAACAGGCTCATTACATTATTGCATTTTAGAAATAATGAACTAAAAATTATAACACCATTTGGGTGTTGTCTATATTACTAATATTATTGTATTTTGAAGTAATGCGTTAAAAATTTTCTGACACCATTGCTAACAATATGACAGGAAGATCTCAGCAAGCCATAATTAATTTTTTAAGATGAGCTGAGATCATGATAAGGGAAAAATTAATGATTTAATATTAAAACAGTGATCTAAAATATTAAAACATGAAAACTATCAGTTTATCTGGAGATTGGTAAAAGCTGGAAGAGAGAGACAGCGAAAAAAAAAAATAAAATAAAAACTTAGCTGAACACATTCGATTTATGACAGGAAAATGCAAGTCAGCTTTTTGTATAAAAGTTTTAAGTACTCATTTTGACACAAAATTTGGGTCAGGCCTCTTCCGTACACCTCGACCTAACAATAAGTTTCTCAGCCTTATAATAGTGGAACTTACTGGTGTTGAGGGTTGAGATTCTAGAGAGGAAATTGGTTGAATTGCAGTTTCAATTTAGTTATGTATAATTGTGATATCTAATTCACTATTA